TGTGGTTACTTATTGTATGACCAGCAAAAAATTAATGCTGTATGTCTGCCAATCAGAGTATGTACTTGACATACAAAGCTAATTCAAATTTTTCTAGTGCACAAATAAATCAATTATACGATATCTAAGATTCAGTCTATTATTTTATAATTGAAAAAGTATGCAGTGGTATGTATAATGACTAAAATAGTTTGTAGTTCCCTTACATTTGTAAGGGTTACATTTGGTGGCTATTTTTCCTCAAACGGGGTGGGGGGACTAGACGTAGTTTCAGAAAAATGGCTGCAGGAATCAAATTTTTCATGGTATCTTCTTCAAATTTGAAATATAAACTCATGAGACATGTGACTTTCAACCCATTACTGGATTGCTCAAGGACTAATTTCATGTATTTGTGTATGAAATAAAAATGAATACATAAATATCATTATGTTTTTGAGGAGTCACACCATTACATGTATTTAAGTATTTCATTTTGAATATATTTTGGAATTAATTAGCAGACAAAAAAAAATCACTGTTACCCAACAATTTTAAATGATTATATAATTATTTTAATAAATTATATATATATAAATTATACAATTATGTATAATAGCATAATATGCTGCTTGTTAACATTTATTTATATTATGATAATTTATATTTATATGGCCATTTTTTTTTTATCTTAGCTTATTTACTTCATGAACAAAAAAAAACAAAAAAATCACAATACATATCTGTTGTCTTTTTCTAGCCCAGTCCGTCTACCTCAAGTCTCAGCTCAAATCACTCTGGCTCACACAATGTGAACAGCTCTGCGCCCTCCAGCAATAGAGGTGAGTGAATTCAATAAACTATAAGCAATCTGGCACTTGAAAGCAAGCAGTGCTTACAATGCCCTGCAACATAATTGGCATCATTTTGGAGCATTGCTTCGTTTCATCTGTTATTTCGTATCTTTTCAATTCTCGCACTATGTGCCTTTATTCCTCTTCATTAGCTTCTCCACTGCCGTCTGACAAGCACAAACACTCCAGAGAGAACGCCTGCCTCTCGCCACGGGACAGACTCTACAGCGGCATTTTCTCCAGCCCACTGGACCCCACACAGGTCAGAGCGCTTCCACCAGCACTGTTTAACAGTTAGATGTCAAACTGAACATTCCATGGGAATAATGTAGGGTGGGGCTTCATTTTTATCCACCAAGGATTGATTATGATATTTCAAATTCTCATAAACTTACATTGAAAGAGGGACCCAAGCCACATCTAGTATCACCACATCACCATAATATATTTTTTAAACAGTTAAAAAAAGTTGGGCTCTTTGATTTGAGTCTGTAAGTAACAACCCAGAACACCTTAATAACCACCTAGCAACAACTAATACTGTATATTGCATAGAAACATTATATATATATATATAATTTATTGTATTTTTTATACGTTGTATACGTTGTACACCACCATTCAAAAGTTTGAAGTCAATAAATTTTTTATGTTATAGAAAGAAGTCTCTTACGCTCACCAAGACTGCTTTTATCTGATCAAAAATACAGAAAAACTGTAATATCATGAAATATTATTACAAATTAAAATGTTGAAAATATTCTAAAATGTCATTTATTCCTGTAATGCAAAGCTGAATTTTCAGTATCATTACTCCAGTCTTCAGTGTCACATGATCCTTCAGAAATCATTCTAATATGCTGATTTATTATTATTATCAGCATGGAAAACAGATGCTACTTAATATTTTTGTGGAAACTGTGATACTTTTTTTCCCAGGATTTTTTGATGAATAGAAAATTCAAAAGAATACCATTTATTTGAAATAGAAAACTTCTGATCAATTTAACATCATTAACGTCACCATATTAACATAATTGCTGTATAATAGTAATTTCTTTATAAAAACAATTGTGCTAACCCCAAACATTTGGTATACGGTGGTATGTATAATTTTTTATAAATATTATTAAATATAATGTATTAAAAGTATTGTTTTTCCTGCTCACATTACAGCAGCAGAAATAAATATTGAAAATATTAATAATTACTACATTCATTATATAATGTAAAAAATAATATAAATGTTCATTGTCATATATTATTTATGTATAATTTACTGTATGTAAATGGTATGCATAATAATTTAAACTATAAATATTAAGTATTCGCCATAAATTAAATAAAAACTATTCTTGCACTGATGAATCTGTAACAATGATTAATAAAATAAATGTGTATCTCACAGTGTTCAGTAAACGTCCACAGTACAGATTCACTGAGACATCCGTCTTTTATATATTTTATAGAGAATGATTCCGTTCCAAATCCCAGTGGATTCCACATTATCACGCTGTGAACCCAATCTCCCCACACCTGAGACAGGTACTGCAGCTTTCTGCTGTCAGATAACAGCCGTTACACTTGAATCGGTTATGTACAGCTCAGTGACACATCCTTTTGTTGCTCTGTGTATGTGTTGAGTAGGATCTCTGTGCAAGAACGTGAGGTCACTGTCTCCCATGCCAACCGCCCGTTCCCCTCAGAAGGTGACTAGTTTATGCTTAATTCACTCTCTGTTAATAGATGGTGTTTCTTAATGAAGTTTGTCCTTTGTTTTGCTCTGCAGTCAATGGTCCCGCCCCTCACGCCCTCTCCGACCGATGGCTTGCCGATGGGGAGCCTGGCATCTCACTCTCCTGCCCGCTCTGGCAGCTACAGCAGCGGGATCTCATCCCTCAGCCGCTGCAGTGTCTCTGAAACGTGCGGGATCGACCTCCCGCCGCCCGACCCTCCTCTACCCCCCGCCGTCCCCGCAGACATGCCCATTCGCCGGGGCAGCAAGACTCCTCCGCCCTACAGCGTCTACGAACGGAACAATCCCCGGCGAGCGACGCCACTGCCTCACAGTCTGTCAGTGCCGCCCAGTACTGACAACCCCAACCTGACCGCCAAACACCAACTGAACCGTGTGCAGCGCATTAATTCAGAACCCCGTCACCGGCCCACACCCAGGAAGGTCTCTCAGCTGTAGCGTGTCAGCGGTAACCGGAAACTTGGACTACGTCGCATTTTTTGTAAAATAACTGTAGGTTATGCATCATAATTGGAAATGTTTTTTCCAAGGAGGTGCATTTTTGTGGAGGATAAGGAGTGGCATATAAATAAATCTTTTTAAAATCTGGCTGTCAATAAATAAATGTTAATAAATCTATCATAGTCCAATACAAAAATTTAATTTTAAAGTTATGAATTGACACATTTCATACATTATTCACATTTCAAATATTTTAAACAAGAGTGTCAATAAATAAATAAATGATGTCAATAAATAGATAAATATTAATACATCAAAGTCTTTTGCAAAATATTATTATTTTTATTTATTTATTTTATTCATTCATGCTTTATTTATTTATTTATTTGTGTTAAAATTATATATATATATATATATATATATATATATATATATCTTCTTAAACCGTGTGCAGAGGCGTAGATCAAGACTGCATGGGGAGTGAGCAGTACAAAGCAATATAACGGTTGTAGTTTCCAGAGAGTGATAGAAACAAACATCATCTAGTTCTGAGATGACTTTTCCCAGCAGCCTGATCCCAAATCAGGTTATGTCGCCGCAGTCACTTCCAAACAATATTGGCTAGATCAAATCTGTTTTTCTTTCTCCTTTAAATGTTAAATCTGACAGAACGTTTTGCATAACGGTCAGAAATTCAATTTGGGATCTTTTTTGGACTCTAGGTTGTAGATGATAAACACAAAGTTTAGGAAATGCTGTGTGGAATTGATGTTCACTTATATTATTTTACCTTTCATATTGTTTCAGTATTTGTTTTCTTCTAAAAAAATAAAAAATTAGATTATTTTTTTTACATCGCATTTTCATTAAAAACAATTTTTTTTTTCATTTTATGTGTAGTTTTTATCATGGAAACATACTAAAAACATTAAAACATTCATTTTTCTTGCCAACATGATCAGAATATACCGACTTGATCTGACAGGAAAACAACTATATTACGAGGTGGCGATTTCGTTGGAATTCATACGATGTGAATCTTACGAAAACGTATGATTTTCGTAAAAAGTAAGCATGAAGGTCCACCCTTAAACGTAACCGTCACTGGGTGTAAACAAATCATACGAAAACGTTCAAATGAGATCATACAAATTAGGCACCGATTTGTCAAAACGTAAAATAGTTAGAAATTGCCATGCGAGCGTGTTGCTACATCTCTTCCTACGAAAGAAAACTAGCCACATTTTGACGTAAAATTGATAGCAACAAACAGCTTTTTGACTGCCAGCTTGAAAGCCCACAATTCTTTTAATAAATATTGGATGATAAATATTTGATCAATTTAGTCGTTAAAATGCAACTTCAAAACACGCAGCAGCCTTTGTGAATCTCGGCTGTCAGTTTACATTGTTGATCATGTGTAGACAATTGAAATGGTCTGTACTTGATAAAAATTGTTCTTGGCAAAAATATCCCCTGTGATTTTATTGTATTTTTGTAGATAAATACAAAGTTCAAAGTGCTGTATTTTTGGCAACCTAAAACATTTGAAGTGTGAGGAATTGAACTAATGTTGGAATGATTATGAAATACTGACAGATGGGCACCGTAACCGATTCGTTTGTTACCTATTTTATTAACGGCTTTGCAGCTATGCTCTCATATTGCCATGTTACGAGAGTTGCTCATTTTCGGCAATCATGTTTTGTAATTTCGATAGATTGCCAATGGTCAAGTCGTAGGACTTCAACTCTAGTCACGCTTGTATTTCTCCTCTCCTGTTCTCTACTTTCACCCTCCTTTTTATGGATTATACTCTTTCTGTTCAATTTTTTGAACTTGTAAAGTTGTACTTTATATCATACGATGGGATGAAAGTATTCCATATAGCCTGTGTTACAGATTTTGTACAAAAGGTGTTTATATGAAAATGTAACTAGTTCATAGCTTTGAATGTTGCAACTAAAGTTTTTATTTGTAAATGTTGAATATTAACCATCAAACAAATAAAGGTTGATTGATGTAAACTGTGAGTTTTTATAAATTATTGCCACTTTTGAGATCCAATACGATTAACACGTTTACTATGTTTAAACTTTTACCACAGCTTCTTTAACTGTTTGACAGCGTTCCCATTTTATTTTATTATGGTTAACTAGTATTTTGATGTAAACTTCAATGTTGGACGTTTCAATGAACTTTAAAGGATCGAAATGTACATCTGCCAAACATTAGTTACATTAAAAAGAGTATTGAAATTTTTTGGGGACATATTACCAAAGTAATACCATGTTTTGTGGATGCTATATTTTGTTTAATTAAAAACAAGGCTATGGAGGCATAGTCTCTGTAAGGGATTGTAATGCTTTTCACATTATACTGATATTTTTAATATATTTATTATCATTATTATGATTATGAATATATTTGTAATTGTTATATAATGTTTCAAATAATTCTTAGTAACAAAAAATCATACATATAAAATACACTGTGAAAATTACATGCAACAAACTTTTGATCAGACCTCACAGCCTCATTTTTCATAAAAATGAAATATGAATGCAATAATGTGTAGTATTTTTTAAAAAGTTTTTTCTGTCCTGAAAATGTTTCAAATTTCTAAATCAAATATAATTTCTTTTAAATCCCACATTACATTTATTTTTAATCTTAAATATTACATTATTCATTAGAATGTGTAAAATATTAATTAATAATAATAATAAATTATTTCAATAAAAACGTCTTATTTTACATTTTAAATATTTTTATTATTGTATTTAAAACGTAATTATTTTTGTACGTAAAACGGAAATATTTATTTACTTTGAAATTATTGTACACATAACACATTTTAATTCAAATTATAATTATTTCCTTATTGAACTATTATATGTAAAATGTAAATAATTATATATATAAAGCCTACTTGTCTAAACATACACTAGTCTGCTCCAGCTAATATTATGATTGAGGTAGGAGGGCTTTAGGACCCGGAAGCAGCGAGGGTAGTGTCGTACTGAACGGAGCGACGTACAGCACACATACATAAGGACATTAGGTGAGTGACACGCGCCTGAAATCATTGATATTCAGCATTCAGACCTTATTAGTGCTGAAGGGTTTATGCTTCACTTTTGCTTATGTATTATAATTGTATCCACCGTTATGAAGTTTATCACACACCCACTGTTTGCCCTTGTTTATAGTGGTAGCCACATGACCTGCGTGGTCGCCATAACACTAAAACTACAGGAGGATTTACTGATGTAGGGTGAATTAGTGTCGCAGTTTTCAACTTAATACACAGCTAAATGAAACAATAGAGATGTAAAAAAATATGACAACTTATTGTACATTTGCTAATGTAGTAACTGTGTTGTTTGTGCATCCGATCTGTCAAAACTTGTAGTTCGTTTGTATACGTGCCAGAACTACTACAAATAGTAGTATACTACACAGTATACTATATCCCACAATGCAGTGCACTTTACTCAACCTTCCATGTCCAAGTTGTTTTTCAGTAACTATTGTAAATGTTTAATTTAAACAGACAGTTGTAAGTCGAGACATTTTTACAAAAAATGATATTAAAAATGGGAAATAATAGTTTTTATATCTGGAAGGGTAACGTAACAGCACTTGCTAAATTAAACATGCAATATAAGAAGGTCCTGTAAAGGTAATACAGTATAATAGCATTTTAAAATTGTATGTATATGTATGCTTACACTTTCTTTTAAAAAGTAGTAGAATTGAGTCATTTTTGACCATAGACATTTAAAGCACACCTATTATGCCCAAAAATATTGATTGTCCCAAATGTGTTGATGCCTTCTAGGTTGGCAGCTCATTATGTTTTGAGACGCAGGCATTGCTTGTTTGCCTCCCATCACAGTCACTCAGTTCAGGAGTAAAGATCAGTATCTTTTCATTTTTGCCACATAGATCTCATATAAAGGTATGTGAAGACAGTGATATAAAAAGAGGTCATTCTCCCATATGAGTGCTGGATTTAGATTCTAGGTTAATTAATTAACGAAGCTACCCTAATGAATAAGATTATTTTGAATTTCTAATCAGTAGCTTTTGAAAACATCACTTCAAATTGACTTTGCACTATAAAATGGTTGTTTCAATTAAAGGAATATTTAGTATATATTAAATAGATCAGATCATGTATTATAATATATAATAATATAATCATATATAATAAATATATAAACTGCATATTAAAACTATAAACTGCTACACTACATATAATTGTTTGTGCAAAATGAAAATATTAATAAAAATGTAAATTATATATATATATATATATAATTAAAATGATTATATATATAATAATAATTATTATTATTATTAATAATAACAATAATATACAATATTTTAATATTATATATAATTTAAAAATTAAATATATTTAAAAAAATAATATTTAAAATATATATAATCACACACACACACTCATATATATATATATATATATATATATATATATATATATATATATATATATATATATATATATATATACACACACACACACAATATGAATTTATTTACAAATTGAAAGTGGATTGAAAAATATTAATAAAAATCTCTCATTTTACCCTCATTTTTAATAGATTATAAATTTTCTGCTCAATTTTTTTAAATTGTAAAATTGTCATACAGTGGAAAGTATTTCATATAGCCTGTCATTGAGATTTTGTACAAAAGGTGTTTATATGAACATTTATTACATTTTTTATTTAAAAATATGTACAAATAATCTAATTTAAAATACATAATAGCTAAGATAAGATGTATATTAATTGAAACATATTAATAAATGTAGACTGTTTAAAATCAGTCAAGTGTGCACAAACTTTTGACTTTTGCATATGAACAGTTTTTAAACAGTTTTACCATATATTGTGAGTCAGCCTCATTCTTTTTTGTCTGCTCATCTACAGCTGTCTGCAGCACATCATTAATCTCACCACTGCTGTGAAGCAGACTAATGGTCAAGCATTCCAGCTGAAATCATACTTACAGGTGCACACATTGAGATCATTTAATCAGATTCGGTCTGTCAGCGCCGTGTTGTGAAATGCGCTGTTAAAGTAGGCCCATGAATCAAGGAAACCAAAAATTGCCTTGTAAAGAGTGGGAATCTGTCATTGCGGTTGCAAATTACCCCAAAGCAGCGAGTTCACTAAGTATTTTTGGACACATTTGATGACTGGTGCAATTAAAATGGCTACGCTCAGGTATGCATAAACAAGGGTATCAGGCTACGGTTTTACATTATGCAGGTGGCATATTTGACAGTATTACTCGCAGGATAAATGGGTTAGAAATTATAAACGTGAAGCATATGATAAATCGATTCTGCTGGCATGAGACCACCGTGCTCCGTTCCGCAGCTGTGTGCAGTGGTCACCTAATATTACCCAGGCATTTGCTTTCAACTCTAGAAACACATCTTTAATTGGACTCGGCTTCAAAAAAATCCATATATGTTGCACACCTGCTGTGCCAGCCTTGGTTTTTATCGCTCACAGTTTTATTTCTGTCCGTAGCACGTGGAAAATGGTGGAAAATGTTCTCGACTCTGAAACTGAAAGCAGCCTTTGATGAAAAATGAACTCAGTGCTTTCTTTTGATCACCGCGCACCAGTCCTAGATTCTCCCATCTGCCCGCTTTTAAGAATAAACTATTAGATGCTCCACTTTACACACCTTTGAGATCCTCGTGGCATGTGCCAACCATCTATATATAGTGGGGAAAAAAAGTATTTAGTCAGCCACCAATTGTGCAAGTTCTCCCACTTAAAAAGATGAGAGAGGCCTGTAATTTTCATCATAGGTATACCTCAACTATGAGAGACAAAATGGGAATTTTTGCAAATGTATTAAAATAAAACACATAAATGATTCCATTGCAAAAGTTTTATCTGGGACAGTTGAAATTAAGCTCAGGAGCATTCATATTGCTTATAGATGTTACTACACTTCGAGTGAAGTTAACCTGTGGCAAATTCAATTGAATGGGTATGATTTGGAAAGGCACACATGTCTTAATAATAGGTCTAACAGCTAAACAGGTTTGCGTCAAGCCACACATCTGGGGAAGAGTTCAGAAAAGCATTCTGCTGCATTGAAGGTTCATAGAAGCATGTAGTCTCTGTTACCCTTAATGGAAGAAGTTTGAAACAACCAGGACTCTTCATAGAGCTGGCCTCCTGGCCAAACTGAGCAATTGATGGAGAAGGGCTTTGGTTTGAGTGGTGGCCAAGAACCTGATGGTCACTCTAGTTGAGCTCCATGATCATATGTGGAGATTGGAGAAACCTACAGAAGGACAAACATCACTGCAACACTCCACGGATCTGGGCTTTATGGCGGTGTGGCCAAACTCAATCCTCTTCTCAACGAAGACACATGAAAACACACTTAGAATTTAAGAATTTATTTACCTAAAGGACCCTCAGACTGTGAAAAACAAGAGTATCTGGTCTGATGAGCCTCAATTCCAAGCATCATGTTTGAAGGAAACCAGCTCCGCTCATCAGCTGCAGAGTACCATCCCAAAAGTAAAGTGTGCTCGTAGCAGCCTCATGCTGTGGGGTGTTTTTCAGCGGCAGGGACTGAGGGACTCATCAGAGTAGAAGAAAAGCTCAGTGCACCAAAATATTGAGATAGCCTTAATGAAAACCTAGTCCAGAGCATTCAGAAACTCAGACTGAGCAGAAGGTTCACCTTCCAACAGGACAACGACCCTAAGCAGTAAGCACACAGCAAGAGTGGCTTATAGACAACTCTGTGAATGTCCTTGAGTGGCCCAGCTCCATCCTGGGCCTGAACCCAATCAAATATTTCTGGAGAAACCTGAAAATGTGCATCTACCCCCATCCAACCTGACAGAGCTTGAGAGGTGAAGAGGTGAGGAGAAGAATGGCAGATAATTGCCAAATGATGATGAGCAAAGATTGTCACATCAAACAAAAAAGACTTGACTGTAAAGGTGCTTTAGCTAAAAATGTAGTTGCTTATGCAATGTACTTATTTCATTTTTTTATTTTTGGTACATTTACGAAGTTGGGACAATTCAGTTTTTGCTTTGTCAGTATGGTGTGTAGATTGATGTGGAAAAAAATCATTTAAAGCAGTTTAACTTAAGGCAGCAACATAACAAAACGTGAAAAAAATGAAGGCACTGTATATATATATATATATATATATAATGTATATACATACATACACATACACTACCCTTCAAAAGTTTTAATTGAAGGAAATTAATGTTTATTCAGCAGGAACACATTAAGTTGACCAGAAGTGGCAGTAAAGACATTTATTCCAAATAAGATTTCCAAATAAATGCTGTGCTTTTGAATTTTCTGTTCATTAGAGAATCCTGAAAAAGTTTCTTCAAAAATATTAGGCAGCATAAACTTCATAAATAGTTTTCATTAGAATGATTTCTGAAGGATCATGTGGCACTGAAGACTGGAGTAATGATGCTGAAAATTCAGCTTTGCATCACAGGAATAAATTACATTTTAAAATATATTCAGATAGAAAATAATATTTCATATTATTGGAGTTTGCAGTATTTTTTTTAATCAAATAAACCTTTCAAGAACATTAAAAATTCTTATAGACACCTAACTTTTGAACAGTAGTGTATGCATCAAAAGCTATTGAATATTATTTACATATAATAATAATTCATTTATAAGTAATAATTATTATTATTTAAGAAATTCTGGGCATTTTTATATTATTGCCAATAGTACACTCGGATTAATTTTGCTTTAGAAATGTATTTTTCAGTCCGTACATAAACAGTCGGTGCTCAAAACTGCATTCTTGAGCAAAAAAATAATAAAAATATATATATATATATATATATATATATATATATATATATATATATATATATATATATATATAATGGCTTACTCAGAGACAGATGACAAATTTTTCGAATATGCTATATGTGTTGTAGGACTTTTTTACTATCAGTGTTGTTTGTGTAGCTAGCCAAACACATCCTCTTCAAGTATCCTGCAATTTTTGTTTCAAGCACAGGTGTAATTTTGATTTACTTTGTTATAATTAAACTTCCTGTAATGTGACTATATCTCCCAACGTTTTATACTTCACACAATTATTTTTTTTGTCTTCCACACTTTTCACTTTCTCATTTCAGAAGTGGTTTGCGAATGCTGTTTCATGCAAAATGTAAATAATCAGTGTTTGTATTATATTGATTGTGTTGCCTTGGGTAGCCTACACACGCAGCAGAGAGAGTCTTTTTGCGACCACAAAAGAGATTTTTGTCATTTTCCCTGCTTGAGCCGTATCTGGCTCACAGCAGTGCAACCCTGACAAATCCTGCACTGCGTTATGATTCGCGCAGCACTTTTTTATTTTTACCTTACATCTCCCAGGTCCTCTGCTAAGTTGTTGTAGTCTCTGATTTTTGAGCCTCTTGAATGCCCTCCTGCAAGCAAATGGCTTCAAGACTTTCTTCAAGTGCTTTCTAGTAAGTCTGCAAATTTGCTGCTGGGGACCTTGAGGGCTTTTTTGGGAAAATCGTACAAGCTGTTCCTTGCCTTTTTGTTACTGTGGTGAACTCTGTAAAATGAATGAGAAGCATAATTGCATACCGTGTACCTCCAAATCAAGCATCACACTAGCAATTAATGGTATTAGAGCAAACGTGCTCGTTGTCAGATTCAATTTCAATGCCTCAGTGGGCTTCTCTGCCCTAATGCGTTGGGTGTACGAGTTTTGTCATTGTGAATACGGCCCATAGATGGCTGCAGATAGGTGCAATTACTAAATTCATTATTAAATTGGCTGCTTTATGAGTGTTTTCTTCTTTTTGACCTCACTAGTCCCTTACAATTTGACTCAACACAAGATAGTTCATGCTCAGAGGCACAAAGTTAATTTTTTATATTTTTGATACTTTTGTTCTCTTTGTAAGTTTAGTTCATCCAACATATCCTTGAAACATGCCTTTTTGCTGTGGAGAGACTACTTCTCAATACTTAGACACCCATATTTTGTTGAATGTTTGAATTATTTCTTCATAAGATGTTACCAGACTCTGAAAAAAAAAAGATGTTTAATTTGCCTAGCTCAACTTTTTGAACAAGCCAAGGTCATTTTCTCTTTACACTCTCTCTCTTCAGGCAATGGCACAGACGGGCTTTGGGCGAAGATACTTCAAAGCTTTTGTTAGTGGCTTCTTTGTAGCCGTCCCCGTGACGGTGACTGTTTTAGACCGTCTTGCCTATGTGGCACGCGTGGAAGGTGCCTCAATGCAGGTGGGATGTCACTTTATCAAACTTGGTAATGTTGTTGTTTTGATGAATCTGGTTTAGTTAAGTTTTGCTGAAAGTTTGCAAAGATGTGCATTTTTTCATAACAAATTACAAGGTAGTTCAAGTCGGAGCTGTGGCACAGTGATTCGCACACAGTGTAGACACGTTAAGCCATGGTGCTCATATGGGTCGCAGGTTTTCTTACAGTGTAGTTTAGTGGCAGTTTTTTTTTTATCATGTTACCCTTTTTGTGGCCATAGTAATTTTCTTTGCCTTCTTCCCTATTTCTGTATTATAATTTTTATACAGTATAATAAAAATAATAAAAAGCCACCAAATTGTAAAAAATTGCATTGTCATAGAATTTAATATATCTTGAGATATCTTGAGAGTTTATATATACATTCAATATATATCTTGATATTTAAAACATGTCTATATATGTTTTAAATTTTTATTAGATTTTTTTTCAGTTCACTGAAAAATACAGTAATATGTAAGCATTTTCATTTAAAATAAAGCAGAATAATAATATTCTTAAATATTTATTATGTATTAAAAATATATATTTGAAAAATGTTTTACTGGGAATGCAAATTCATAAAAATCACAGAAATTAGTCAAACTTACCATTTTGTCCAAGTTTAAATCATATTTAAAACATCTCTGTCCAGTTTAAAACATCTCTGTCTACTTACGTGAAACTACACTCTAAAAAAGTCTGTAAAAATGGGGCACACTGTACTGTATTTGAAGGAATTTTCCATATTTATTTTTTACAGATGTTTTATGTGTATTTTGAATTTAACACTGCATTGCGTTGTGTTTTAGAGTTAATGGAAATGTCTGTAAACTTAATGGATAAAGTCCTGGTAATGAGCTGCCAGTACTTTTTCTGTTATTTTGCAGATTTATTTCTTACAGTTTAGTTTAATGGCAGTTTAGTAAACGAAACAGCCAATAAAAAGCACCTTAAAATCACCATATTCACTTGATTTTTGTATTACCGTCAAAATAATTGCTAATATATTGTAAATATTCAATATATTTCCCAGCCTTAAAAAATAAGAAAAGAGATTTTTACCTTAACAAGCTCTTCTATTTAAACATGAATAACCTTTTACTTATGTTAGGACTTTGCATTACGACTTAATCAAACCAAATTTGCTAAACATTGCACTAATAGCACTAAGACCATGATGAAAGCAAACTGTCTGAATACACCATGCTCATTTCCTCGCCAAACAGAAGTAATGGTTCATTATGTACCTAATGAACACTAACTAACCAAAACGGTGTTGTTGTTTTCCTGTTGGAGTCCAGTTTTCTGTCTTGGTTTATAGTGCTATGTATTTGCTAATGGCTTTTCCCACTTCACCCATGGCCTTTGAATCCAAATAAGTCAGTCCATTGACAATGCTGAAAGCTGACACCAATGTAGAATGAGAAAATGTGTCTGAATAAAACAGATAGAGCGCCCAGCTGTGACAGATATATTCTCTAGGCGGGAACGCTCATCGGGATATTTATTTTAGAAGGACAGATAAGAGATATTTCTGTCAATTATCCCAGCAAGCGTGAAATGGCTCATCGAGATCTCCCTTAATGATTCATTGGAGGCCCGTGTATCAAGTCAGTCGACGACTTGCATGCTTGAGAAGGTTCGTCACACACAAGTTGTTTGATATACCACCACAAAAGAGTTAAGAGCAAAACAAATAGTCTAAAAAATATATGTTTTGAAGTTAACTTTTAGATGTTATTTTTACCCTTAGGATGCCGTCAGTCAAAAAGCTGAATGAAGAACAGAGGCTCTTTTCCAGAGCAAAATTAAAGCAAAGTTGCTGAGTTTATTCTTAGAGTTGGCTTAGTAGTTCGGGAAGTTTGTGTGGTATGGAGGATTAAAGCAATATATCACAGACCAAAAAAAAAATTGATAAAACCTTGAGTCTAGAATTTATGAACCGTGTTGACTCATGTGGAATGAATCTTTCCCAGCCGTCCTTAAACCCAGACGGAGAGTCATCACCTGATGTTGTGCTGCTCAACCGCTGGAGTGTGAGGAACTATCAAGTACAGCGAGGGGACATCGTGTCAGTTCTGTGAGTAGCCACATTTAAGCATATTTAGTTTTTTCACTGTGGGTGGAACCACTCACTCTGGTTAGAGCAGTGAACAGTTTTTTGCGGGGTTTTTTGTATTGTTTGTAGTTGTGGTATGGTGTAAATTAGGGATGCTATACATCGGTACACTTAGGGATCCAATATTACACATTTTTTTTATTTATTGGTATTAGATGATGTGGCCATCATCTAATATCACTTAAAGTTTTTAAGCCTAGAAATCTTTAAAAACACTAATAATTTAATAGCTTTGTTAAATGTAATTTTTAGCAAGTCAAAATAAATATCCATTTATCATACTGAACATTATAACGTTGTGATGCCAAAATGTACTTGTAGCATTTAAAATGACTGATTTTAGTTTTAAGTGTTTTGTTTTTATTTATTTAGACAAAATAGCTTATAATTTTTTTAATATTGGTCATTTAACGGTTATCGGTCATGGCAATAATTTTTAGCTTATCGATACTGGCCTGAATTTTAATATTGGTGAATGCCTAAGTGAAATGTTGATTACTGACTGATTAGGGATTTTAGTAATTTAATTTGCATCTTTAAATTATTTTGATCTTTAAATGTAATTCTAAAGTTTTTAAATCTTCACCTTTAATGATGCTAATAATTTAATAAAGGCGTTAAATTGAATGTTTACCAAATCTCACAATTAATTAATCTATTCATATTGTATATTATAATATTGTATATTTATATGTATATTTTACTTTGTTATTAATAATTTAATAACAATGTTCCGTATAATCTTCAGTCTTCTCAAAGTAAAAAATTGTTTTACATACTTTAACTTATAATGTTATGATGCCTAAATGTACGTAACATATAAAATTACTGATTTACTAAACTGTTTTGTTTTAAAAATTGTTTTATTGTAGGCCACCTATCGGTTTGGCTGTAACATCAAAATAATTATTCACTTATTGTATTGACCGAAATTGTAGTATTGGTGCATTTCTAGCATGAACTTTAATTTTTGCACCTCAGCTCTGGTGAAATCATTGAAAATGGACTAAAATGTCTGAAAAGTTCTGAAATTCGACAGGTATGATGTTTTTGTGACAGAACATGATGTTGATGTCAAACGGTTGAGCCTGCAGACCTCTGTTTCACGGGTGTTACATTGAGTCCTCACATTCACTCAGGTTTTCAAATCCTTGCCGAAAAATTGCACATTCATTCAGAAAATTGCCACTGAGATGTTCTCCATCCAGATAGAGATATCTGTGGCGCTCAAAATTGCTAATTGGACCATTTTGGTCTCCATGACCTTAAACCTAGCTGCTCTGAGTACACTAACTCAAGGGGAAGCCACCTCGGGATAATGAGCCCACTCTGTTTTAAGGGTTACTGTTATCGCAAGTGGACGCAATCATCTGATATGCTTTAATGTGGTGATCAAAACCAAGAGCCTTTTGACACAGGCTCTGCGGACGCTATCATCTAGACTCTAGTTAGGTAACTCCTCTTCACTTTTATGTATGGTCTGTATTTTGAAGCACCAGGGGGAAAGAAAGCATTTATTTCATCCAACTTCTTGATCAAACACTCACCCTGCTGGGTTCTTTGGCTTTGTATGTTTTATAGACCAGTAGACCAGTAGATGGGTTCAGCGCCGTTAGCTGTTCAAATGAGGTTTTGATGCTGTGAAACTGAGGGGCTTGTGTATGATTATAAGTGCCGCCACAGGATGTTTAGCACATCTAAAACATTACTCTGTTGGCCTGTATCTTGATTATAGAGTGGTAGATGGGTTCAGCGCCGTTAGCTGTTCAAATGAGGTTTTGATGCTGTGAAACTGAGGGGCTTGTGTATGATTATAAGTGCCGCCACAGCACATCTAAAACATTACTCTGTTGGCCTGTATCTTGATTATAGAGTTTAACATTGAATTAATGAAGTAGAAACCTTTATACAATTCATTATCGGTTACTAAATTATTAAATTGAATATGTCTTACCGTTTCTGTGTAATTTTTGTGCTTCTAGCAGTGGCGAATGAAGCAAAAAGAATGATTGTTCTCAAGAAGGTTTTCAGAACACTGCCTCTGTCTGTCATTGGTCAAACAAACAGATGACTCCGCCCCCCAAACTCACATCATTGGCTGAGCCACTGTTGCTATGCCATGCTGGGCAGAATTTTCAAAAAGATAAATTGTTTCAAAACACCACAAAGTTTTAGTGTCTTGTTTATAGTTATTAAACTGGAAGAGCATAAAGGTTTTTTTCTTTGCATAAAAGTACACACTTCAGCTTTAAATTGATAGACTGTTTATTTTGTTGTGTAAATCCCTGTATGGGGAACAATGCTGAGAGTGTGGTAAGACAGATTCACTCTGTCATTACCCAAAGATGGCACTCTTCCCCTGCTGGGAATTCACTGCGCTGGGAACATGATGTTCATCCTTTGCTAAACTATTCTGAGGGAAAAAGCTAGCACTGCATGCTAATACTCCTGACTTTGATTGTTTTAGTCTTATTCAAGGCACATAATAACATTGTTTTCTACATAGAATGTGATGTATTGACAAGGGAAATGCTAATATTTTGGATGAGCCAACTGTGTGACCTTGTATCAGGTTTTTTTTTTATCTGGTTCTGTCCTTTTTTATGTCAGTATATTCAATAATTCTTATATTTTAAATGAATGGTTCAATCAAAATTGAAAAGTGTGTCATTATTCACTCACGCCCAATACATTTTACATTTTATTTTATTTCTATTTTTATAGTGACCCAGATTTATAGCTCCAAAAAATTTTTTTTAAATAAATAAATCAAATAATATAAAATAACCATAAAAGTAGTTTATCACGCATCTATATTTCAAGTCACATGTTGTGAAGTTCTTATGAAGTCACACGAGTAAAATTTAGGCCATTATTCAATGAAAATGTTGAAATCTGTTAAAACCGATATGATTTCAGCCTTGAGAAGTCTTTTTTTTTTTTAAACTTATGATACTTCTATGGTGCTTTTTTGTCTTTTCGTTGTTCTGTAGATAAAGAAGCTGCATAAATACTGCAAAATGTCTCCTTATTTGTCTCACTTGATTGTGAGTATATATTGACAGAATTATATAATATTTAATTTTGAGTGAGCCATCTCTTTTTAGGTTTTTATATTTCTTAACCCTATATTTAAACATATTTAGATCACATGACCATGTAAATTGGCACAAAGCAGTCTAAATCAAATCAGACTTTTCTGGAATGTGATGTATTGACAAGGGAAATGCTAATATTTTGGATGAGCCAACTGTGTGACCTTGTATCAGGTTTTTTTTTTTTTATCTGGTTCTGTCCTTTTTTTATGTCAATATATTAAATAATTCTTATATTTTAAATGAATGGTTCAATCAAAATTGAAAAGTGTGTCATTATTCACTCACGCCCAATACATTTTACATTTTATTTTATTTCTATTTTTATAGTGACCAAGATTTATAGCTCCAAAAATTTTTTTTTAAAATAAATAAATCAAATAATATAAAATAACCATAAAAGTAGTTTATCACGCATCTATATTTCATGTGAAGTCACATGTTGTGAAGTTCTTATGAAGTCACACGAGTAAAATTTAGGCCATTATTCAATGAAAATGTTGAAATCTGTTAAAACCGATATGATTTCAGCCTTGAGAAGTCTTTTTTTTTTTTAAACTTATGATACTTCTATGGTGCTTTTTTGTCTTTTCGTTGTTCTGTAGATAAAGAAGCTGCATAAATACTGCAAAATGTCTCCTTATTTGTCTCACTTGATTGTGAGTATATATTGACAGAATTATATAATATTTAATTTTGAGTGAGCCATCTCTTTTTAGGTTTTTATATTTCTTAACCCTATATTTAAACATATTTAGATCACATGACCATGTAAATTGGCACAAAGCAGTCTAAATCAAATCAGACTTTTCTGAGTGCAATTCACTGAGTGTGTTTATGCAATTGCAAGAGTTTTGTTTCCCTCTGGCTGTTTGGATCAAAAGCAGATATAATTGGGATTCATTTTAAATGTTGTCTGAGGAGGTCTCTGAGCCCACAGATCTTATTTAGAGAACATTCCTTATATTTAGACAGCAGTCGATGGGGAAGAGGCTCTGTCAGGGTGTTTTACGCACACAGAAAAAGTTTTGTCATGCTTTCAGTGTAAACGGGGACAAACTTGACGATTTTATGAATTGCCATTTGTACATTACCACTTCCTTAGAGCAATCTGAAAGCTAGTGCTTCCACAGCATTATTTGGTCAGAAGTCAGGTCTCTGCGTCTGTGACTAAGAGGAAGCGTTGATGCAAAATTGGAGTGCCAATTAACTTTTTGTCCTTTTGAAAATTTCCTACAGGTCGCAAAAGAAACATTAAATAAAAATAGTTGTCTTGAGCATTGATAGAGGACAAAAGAGCAGATAAATGTCCATTGATTCATAGCATGCCTGTCAATTTTCCCACTCTTTTCCGAGCCGCTTTGAAGTGTGCTGGGCAGAAAATGGGATCTCATCGGGGCTGGACTGTAATTAGCCATCTACATGGAAACCAGTTCAGTTCACGCATCCTCAGAGAGGTTTCATGGAGCCCAGCCCGCATTCAGGGAATTTTGCATTCAGCTCAGGGTTTGAGGTGAACTGAGGTTTCTGAGGTGCTTTTAGTACCAGCATGCTTCTGGCTTTCATAGACAACCTGCTTGGTTGTTAATGTGGTGGCCAGAAACCCATGATGGGGGCAAACTCATTGTTATATAAGAGTGCTGAAGGCGAGTCGGGTTTGTGGGTCTCTTTAGTCTAGAAACCTGGGTTTTGTTTTGTTTTATTTTTTTAAGTTCTAAAAAAAAATGCATTTGAAAACTTTAGAAAAGAACATTGAGGATGGTGTGAGGGAGGTTTGGGCCAGTTGACAGAACTGCCACATGCTAAATCTGACAAATGTTGCCTTTATGCTTGTATACATGATTGCTTTTTGCAGTTTTAAAAATA